GAAGAATCATACTGATAGCTGATCTACTCATGTAATTATACATATGAGGAAACAGAAGCTAAGAAGAATAAAGGACTTACTGAAGGTCATATAGACGATATAGGCTCAGGCCTGTAATGCAGATATCCTGATGTCCATCTAGTCTTCTTTTCTATTTTACTTCCTTCCTTCTTTCCTTCTATCTACCTTTCTTTTTCTCCTTCCTATAATAGCATGCTGCTTCATCAGGGGTCTGCCCAACTTAAGAAATAAAACTCTTAGATTAAGAGTTTCTCTCTAGTATAATTTGAAAATCAAAACAGCATGGCACTGGCATAAAAACAGACATATGGACCAATGGAACAAAATAGAAAACCCAGAAATCAACCCGTTTACTTACAGCCAACTGATCTTCAACAAAGGCAATGAGAACATACATTAGGGAAAAGACTGACTCTTCAGTAAATGTTGCTGGGAAAACTGGAGCTCCATATACAGAAGAATGAATCTAGGCCTGTACCTCTTACCATACACCAAAACCAACTCAAAATGGACTAAAGACTTAAATATAAGACCTGAAACTATAAAACTCCTAAAAGAAAACATAGGGGAAACACTTCAGGATGTATGACTTTATGAATGTGACTCAAAAGCACAGGTGACAAAAGGAAAAATAAACAAATGAGATTATATCAAACTAAAGAGCTTCTGCACAGCAAAAGAAACAATTAACAGAGCAAAAAGAAAAACTAGAGTGGGAGAAAATATTTGCAAACTATGCATCCAACAAAAGATTAATATCCAGAATATACAATGAACTCAAACAAGAATAGAAAAACAAATAACCTGATTAAAAAATGTGCAAAGGAGCTGTCTAGGCATTTCTCAAAGAAAGACATAGAAATGGCCAATAGACACATGAAAAATGTTCAACATCACTAATCATCAGAGAAATGCAAATCAAAACCACATTGAGATATCATCTCATTGCAGTTAGACTTGCTATTCTCAAAAAGACAGAGAATAACAAATGCTGGTGAAGATGTGGAGAAAGGGGAACCCTCCTATGCTATTGGTGGGACTGTAAATTGGTACAGCCATTTATGGAAAACAGTATGGAAGTTCCTCCAACAACTACAGATAGAACTGCCATATGATCCAGCAATCCCATTGCTGGGTATATATCCAAAGGAATGGAAATCATCATGTCAAAGGGATACCTGTACTCCCATGTTTATTGCAGCTCTATTTACAATAGCCAAGAGTTGGAACCAACCTAAATATCCATCCTCAGATGGACAGATGACTGGATACAGAAAATGTGGTATATTTATACAACAGAATACTACCCTGCCATAAAAAAAAAATAGTGCCATTCACAGCAACATGGATGAACTTAGAGAAAGTGTTAAGTGAAATAAGCCAGGTACAGAAAGAGAAATACTGCATGTCCTCACTTACAAGTGGGAGCTTAAAAAGCAAACAAAAAACAAATAAATGAAAAAAGAAGGAAAGATACAGCAATCACAATAAAACATTGAGCTTTCAAAAGAAAAAAACAGAACTAAGGTTACCAGAGGTAGGAAAGGGGAAAGGAGGAAAGGGAGAGGAATTGGTAAAAGGCCACAAAAATCAATTACATTGTATAGTGACGAATGTAATAATTATCTTGATACGAACATCACATATTGCACATAGGTCTTAATATTCAATGCTGTACTCCACGAAAGGAGGAAAGGGAGAGGAATTGGTAAAAGGCCACAAAAATCAATTACATTGTATAGTGATGAATGTAATAATTATCTTGATACGAACATCACATATTGCACATAGGTCTTAATATTCAATGCTGTACTCCATAGATATGTACAATCAACTGCATTCCAATAAAAGAATAAAAATAAATAAATAGTTTCTCTTTCTTAGCATAACTGTATTTTCACAGGCGTTTGGGTTTTTAGCATGACTTTTAAGATATTTCCCCAAAGGGAGCTGATTCTAATACAGAGTTAAGAGAGAGTAAAACCAAGAGAAGAATTTAGCACTCACACATCTACTAATCAGACGATTGCATCCTTGATTCTGTAAACATAATTCATAAAGTGTACCCTAAAATGGCTGTACCATAGAGGGTGATGAGGTGTGGTGGCAGTAGTGTGGGCGTGACAGTCTGTAAACTAAATCGTTCTTTTTTATAGGAGAGCTCCCTTCACACTGGGTCCATGTCTTATTTGTGTTTGTGTTCTGAATACTTACTGACGTTCCTGGAGAACTGAGCATTTAAGGACTGTAGAGATTAATCAACCTGAAAATTATGTTGGAGCCAGAGTGATAAGGATCCTGACTACCAAGCCAAGGAATTTAGCTATTTCTCAGCTGCCCTCCCCATTTAAGTTTATTTGCGTTCTGCAAGTCACTGACATCACCTTAGCTATTTTAAATGTTTTAGACATGTTTAAAATATGTTGACTGTGAAGGAAGAGAAGTGTACAAGGCCTACATTTTGAAGGAGATTTATCCTGAAGGGCATTTGCTCAGGTTCCCATCCTGTCACTCCCGTACCCCCCTCTCTCCTCTCATTGTCTGTTACTTTACTGGCTACTGACAGGCCAAGGAGTGCCAGGCGCTATTCATGTTCTGCAAATCTTGTCAGAGCTTAAACTGCAGGATTCCATGCAGAGGGCTGAATGATGACCTCTAACCCCTTGTTCTTTCCATCAAGTGTTGCTTCAGATAGTAACACTAAAGAAGAGGCACCACACAGGCCAGTGAATCTATGAGTATGGTGGTGATTATCAAGTACATCTCCAAGGAAATGGGGGCGGGAGAGAAATAGGCACACCAAGTCAGCAAATATATAATCTGATTGCTGGATCTCTGTCTAGCCCGCAGCTCCTAAAACAGTAAACTTGGTTAGATTTGATTTATACTGGAATATCATGTTCTTTTTCTTAAAATAATAAAAAAGAGAAAGAGAATAATTAATACATTCAATGCAGCGATGCTAATGCATTAATTAGTAATTATTAATGCTAGTGCATTAGCTAGTTAATGCATTCAGAACTTATTATTTTGTCTGTTATGTGCCATGGAGTGTGCTAAGCATTGCTATACTTGATAGGACAAAAATCAAAACAGAACTCAAAACTGAATTTTAAGGACATGGAGAAGGATACGTAGTCATTACCTTAATAATAGAAATTAATGAATTCAGCATAAATTATAGCATCCTTGCTATGTGCCAGATGTTATTCCAGGTTCTGGGGAATATATTTGTGAACAAGGTAAAGCCTCTGCTGGCAGGAAGATACAATCTGGAGGGTGAGGCCGACACATGAAAAGGCAATTATGAAACAGTATTATAAATGCCATAACAGGTGAAGGAATCCTTCTTGGAGCAAGGAATGCAGGATAAATTTCTAATAGGTTAGTATCTATGACTTAAAAAGCAGAGAGTCTTCAGTAAAACTGAATTTGAGCAGATGGCCATAGGGTAATGTTTACTTCCCAATTTGAAGTGGCTCTCCATATTTACTGAAATAATTTGCTGAAAGTTTCTTAAGAAATATATAACGCAAGGTTTTATCTAATACTCCACTACTTTGGGTCTTTCATAAGAAAATTATCTAAAATATGAAGCAATTTATAATCTTGAATATCTTTATGATAGTGTTAATTGTAATGCAGATTGGAAACACAGTAAATGTTTACCAGTAGAGGATATGTTAATTAAATTTTATTACATCCATTTCTGTTATTAGAAATGATGGCTATGAAAATTCATGATGAGCAGCTTTTCTACATATCACAGGACATAGAAATGGCGGAAAAGGAGACTACAGAAAGGTAAAACAAGGAAAAGACAGGGAGGCCCAGAGAACAGCAAAGCATTGAAGTTATAATTAATCTAAGATTTCTCTGAACACTGAAGCTTTTGATTCATCTTAAATAGTGGTTTTGGTTTTCAAAATTGACTTTGGGAAGGGAAAATCTATTTAATGAAAAATGAGATCATATATGGGCTTCTAATATATAAAACTTATGAAATATGTTAAAGCAATATTTTAATAATAATAATTGATTTGAAAAATTAAAAATCATAACACTTAAAATAAGCCAGTTGATAAGAACAATGAGACAATTTAGTTCTGATGAACTCAATAAGTGAAACCAGGTTTTATAGATGACACATAGGTTTTATATTTTATAGATGACTAACCACCTATGGTTAGTCTCAGCATCCATCTTATTTCTCTAGTTTGTTTTAGCCGTAGAGTATGAAGAAACTCCTGCCTCATCCCAGTGAGTAATAGTGGCATGCTTATGGAGCTTTATAGAAGCAAATAGAAGCAATTCATACAAAGAACAGTACAGGGCTAATTAACAATATACTTAAAAACGTTTAAATATGTACATAAAGTTGTCAGGGTAATCTGTATGCTGACCACTAAACAAAGGCCAGTTAGCTTGGCAGCCCTTGTTAAGTCATATTATCCAATATGTTCAGACTTTGGTACATAACACTTTTGAGCAAGCATTTTAAAAATGTGCATATACCGTCTATATAAATGAAATCTAACCAAACATTTATATATTTGCTAAAAATGAAAATAATTACATAAGGTGTACCTGATTTGGACTATCACTTTCATAGGTATATCGCATGTGTTTTGCTTTGCCAGGAAATAACATTTATTAGAAGAAAATAAGTTATTCTGGATCATGTAATTTCGAGGAAAAGTTTTGGAAGAAGGGTGTTCTTCTAAAAAAATATTGTAGTTCTATTATCCATTATACTTGCTTCCTGGATTCCTGTCCCCAGTTCATATAATAAATGTCAAAGCCTGGCTGGTTAGCTCAGGTGGGTAGAATGTGATGTTAGCAAACCAGCATCAAGGGTTTGGATCCCTATACCAGCCAGCTGCTCCCTCCACCCTAAATGTCAAATTAGGTAATAAATGCTAGGTGTTCAGAGAGAGAGAAAAGAAGAAAGTGAACTTGAGGAGTAAGGACACATTTATGTTGAAGAACAGGGAGGATTAGAGTTGGACTATAAATGTGAAGAGGAAAGAATAGGAAAGGTAATCCCAGGCTGGAGAACGGTGCATAAAAAAATGGAATGGTCTGACTAAGGTGTAAAGGGATGGGACTTACACATTTATGTTGAAGAACAGGGAGGATTAGAGTTGGACTATAAATGTGAAGAGGAAAGAATTGGAAAGGTAATCCCAGGCTGGAGAACGGTGCATAAAAAAAAGGAATGGTCTGATTAAGGTGTAAAGGGATGGGACTTTCCCTGCCATAGTAAACAGCTACAAAACTGGACTCTCTCTCTCTCTGTCTCTCTATCTATCTATCTATCTATCTATCTATCTATCTATCTATCTATCTATCTATCTATATAAATTAGTTTCAGGCATTGAGCAACCTACAGAGCAGGATAGCCACCCTTGAGAGAAGGAAAGCACTACAGGTGAGCTTGACATTCATCTAGGTTTTCTGCCTTTCTATCTTTGCAAATCATGGCACAAAGAAGTGGGTCTAAAAAGCATTACTATTGCTGGGCAGAGGAAACTCAGGTCAGAGTCTGGAAACACTTATGTCTCTAGAACTTGGAAAAGGATCGCAGAGAAAGAGCTCCAGAAATTCTCACAAGTCTCTTGAGTTTTAGCTGAATGCTAAGTTGCACATGTACAGAATGACTCCATGAGGTTTTGCAAAGAATAGCTATAGCATTTTCGTCTGTCTGTTTGTTTTTTGAGCTGAACAGATCCAGAAGTTGCACAGTTCTGAGAGACCTTGGTTTTCTGACCAACCAGAATACCCCAAACGTTTAGTTGAAACCCCCAAAATACCACATGTTAGGAGTAGATTTACTCCAGCCCTAGAATAAGGGCCAGTCAAGATCTGATCTAAGAAAACCTAAAACAAAGCCTCAGTATGGTCAGTTTGACTTGCCAGTAAATTAACTGTCTCTCCAAATAAAACTCAACACCCTTTCAAGTAAGACAATATGATTCAGTCACTCAACAACATAATTGTCTTAGTTTGTTCAGGCTGCTATAACAAAATACTGTAAAATGGGTGGCTTATAAGTAACAGACATTTGTTTCTCCCAGTTCTGGAGGCCGTGAAGTCCAAGATGAAGGCACTGTCAGATTTGATGTCTGGAGACTGCCCACATTTTGGTCCACAGAATGGTGCCTTTTTGCTGTGTCTTCACATGGTAGAAGGGACTAGCCAGATCTATGTTGTCTCTTTTATAGGGGCACTATCCTAATCATGATAACTTTGCCCTCATTATCTAACAACCTCCTAAAGGCTCCACCTCCTAGTACCATCAATTTGGGGGTGAGGATTTCAACATATAAATTTGGGGGACACAAACATTCAGACAATAGTAACAACATTCACAATGTCCAGCAGCTGCTAAAAGATCATTAACGTGCAAAGAAGCAGGAAAACGTGAAATACAATGAGCAGAAAAAATCAGTCAATAAAAATAGATCGAGAAATGGCAGAGATGATGGAATTATTAGATAATGATTTAAAAGCAGTGCACATATATATGAATATGTTTAGAAACTACATATACAAGATTAAAGTTTTATAGAAATACATAAACATAATAAGGAAACATAATAAGGAAATATAAAAATAGATCGAGAAATGGCAGAGATGATGGAATTATTAGATAATGATTTAAAAGCAGTGTACATATATATGAATATGTTTAGAAACTACATATACAAGATTAAAGTTTTATAGAAATACATAAACATAATAAGGAAACATAATAAGGAAATAATGGAAGAATTACAAAAGAAACAAATGGTACTATAGGGCTAAAAATACAATACCCCAAATGAGAAACTCATTGGATGAGCTTAACAGCAAATTAGACACTGCAGAAGAAAAGATAAGTGATCTTAAAGACATAGCAATAGAAAGTATATAAGATGAAAGATTAAAAAAAAAAAGACTAAGATAATATGAAAAAAGCCTGAATCATCTATGAACGGGGAAGCCTTGACAGGTGTGCAACCTTCTCTGTCACATAGGCTCCACATTCAGAAGGGGTCCTCATTTGGCTCAGTATTCTGCTGTTGCCTCTTGAAATTATTAAAATTTTTGGAC